TTCATCCAACTTTTAACTTTCTTCTTCCACACTGCCTTCTCACCAGCACCTTTATCTTCCACCAAAATTGTCACGTACGCAGGTTTTTTTGAAGCACGAGAAAACCCGCTAAAAATAGACGATGGACTCCTTTCCCGTTGCCAGTAGACCAGTATGCCTTTCTGTTTATTTGTTCTGGTGTGTCACGTTCAACATCGCGGATGCGCCGGTCGGCACCGGAAGCAGGTTTAGTAAACAGAGAAAATGTTCGGGTGGTTACTTTTTTTTACTACTTATTCAGTCTCTTTTTCAAACTGTCAAACCAGAGTTAGTGATTATTGGAACAGTGTAAAAAACTAACAAAGACGGTTTTGCTGAGTTTTATTGGGTTTCTGTCCAGTTTGGAGGACATGTTTTTTACGACAATCAGGTAAGTCAAGGTAAAATTGCTATTGTTTGACTGGAGTCTGGTGGCTTTGAGGAGTGCATATTAATGTTATGTTTTGTACGTTAACAAATTATAAGAATTTTTCAAAATCTTTCAACTCAAAAAAAGGGGTTTAAATTAGCGCATTCACCTGGGTGTCATGTTTCCATCACTGCCAATCAAAGTTTGAGCAGATAAATGTTAACTTCTGCGGAGCCCTTTGTCCCGGGAATGAATTCCCATTGTAACCTTTTCCACTGAAAACAAAAGCCAGACGTCGGAGGGTTTTTTGTCCAGTGGGAGAGGAGCTTTAGTGGCCTGAACTTACAGATACAATGTGAAAATACTTTAGCACCCTTCTAAAATAGTAACATTTGATATAGCTGCTGGAGAGTATTTAAATTGCAAATAGCTTTTGCTGCTAATGAAATGTCACTTTTTGAGTCTGGACCAAGTGACAAGAGCCTTTGTTTATAGACCTGGCTTAGCTGAGTAGAGGCAACGTTATTCTTTGGAGAAAGCCTTTAACTTTTACATCAGTAACATCAATCCAATGTTATAAATGCAATTAATACAGACCTATTCAAACTATCCTATTATCCCTATCGCTGTTCTACTCACAACCTCCTCGTATTCTAAAAAAATAAGGCTGGAAGAAAGAATGCAAAAAGTCCAATGAATCTCCAAAAATAGGCAAAAGCATCTCGCTCAGAGTATTGAAGGCCAACATTCGCTGAACCTCCATCTCATTCTGTGCCAGCTGTTTGGAGCCAGAGGAGCAGGGCTCCTCAAGGCAGCAAGGCTTAGGGGTCGAGAGGGTTTTCTCGTGAACGAAGTCTTCGGATGGAAAAACTCAATCAGTGGTCAATGTTGAAGCTTTTTTTTTCCTAATTGAACTCCATCTCCTCTCACTGTTGATCTCCTTGTGTCGTTCCTCCCTTGGATCTTCCTTTGGTGATGACAGGCCAGGTGTTATAATCAATGGTCAAATAATCAATGACCAGCGCTCTTCTTTCTCCTTTTCTGGGCCTCCCGTGGCTTGTTGTGGTCCTTTCTTTATTTTTGGGTCTTTTCTCGACTTGTTTCTGTGACTTGTCATGACCTGGCCTTCTCCTCATATGGGGGTCTGTAAGGCCTCCTGAATCTAGCGTCAATGTCACTTTTATGGTTGTTTTTGACAAAAAAAATCGAATTTACCTGAGCTAACAACAGCCATGTTTTTCAGTATTTTTTCAGATGATCCAATAGGTTTTTAAGGAGTTATAGAGCAAAAGAAGAAAGATCATTTTCCGAACACTTAATCCTTCAGTGTTTTTTTAGTTTTTCTTAAAAACTCAAATTTGAAGATGAATGGTTTGCGTTGAACAGAGACAAAATGTTGTTAATCTTTTAGTAAACGCCCATGGGTTATAGCCAATTAGTCTGCAGTAATATATAATAATATGTAATCAATAGATGGAGTGCTCAAACAAACCAAAGGGGAATTAACAACCTGGCAACCCAAAAGTTATTATTAATTGCTTATAAATGGTTTATAGACCACTAAATAAGTAAGCAACTGTTATAAACCTTGCAGAAAGTGTCTCATTAGAAAACAGGACCACTTTCAATAGTTGATCCCTTTCAGTTTGGTGCTCTGGGTAGTGAAGTGAATTTTCTCAAGCAGCCAACTCTTGCTGTCAGTAAAGCTGCTTTGTGCTGCTTCGAGACAAGACTCAATTGTCTCACTTGGTTTTATAGTTTTTACTCGACATAGACACACACACTGGTCCTCCCTGGTCTCACAGAGAGGGACAGCGGCTGTAAGGGAGGATTTACAGGGGCCGCCTGTCCTCCCAGCAGTAGGCTGATTGGAGGGGCCGGCTGTGTTTGTTAAGGTAATGGGCCCTAGGTGAGCTAATTCACAGGGTACACGCTCCACGCTCCGTCACCTCAGGAGAACCGCGGTGGAAAAGGAGGTTGCCGGCGGGGGCTGGGGCTAGTGAGGGGGGAGGCGGGTTCTAGCTCTCCCCAAAATCCCCTCAGCCTTGCTCCGTCTCCTCCAGCTCCACCTGAAAGTGATTACCAGGCCAGCCGTGAGCAAACAAGTCCCATATGGAGTGTCTATAGTGGGGCTGAGTCTGGGAGCCTGGGGAGCCCTCCTCCACCTCTTTGGAGAGAAGAGGCCTGAGCAAACACAGCTAATGAAGTCTTAACAAGCGGCCCCCGGGTTAGCGCGAGCCCGCTAAATGCCACCGAGGCTCTTGGAATTGTGTCCAGCAGATTGGCTAAATCTCCTCGAAGCTTTTCCTTCACAAGATAAAGTTGCATTAGCATATCTTCCTCTCGCCATCTCGGTGGTAAGTCCAGGATCTGGCAAGCAGTCACACTTGATGGGCCTTTTCAGTCTGGAGCACTTGATTGTCGACAGACAGAATTGGGCTTTAAATTGAACACATTGACTTCGGATCCCGACGTGATTCCGGGTTTTATTCATTGGTCACAGAGTGTTTCCTTCAGGCTTTGGTCTGGGGGGATATTTTTTCACAGTGTGCAGCTCTGCGTTGCAAACAGGAGGTGAGTGGATTTCCTAGTCATAAACCGCTATCACTGTACTGTAGAACGGACCCTCCCCTCACCCTCCCTCCATCGCTCTCACACTTTGACCACTGCCTTGCCCTCACTCCCTTCTCATTACGTGTCCTTTTTCTCACTCATCCCAAACGCCAGGGATATGTTTTTGAGGAAAATATCACACCGTCCACCCTGTGCACAAACATGCACTCACTCCAACTCCAAGGCCCCGGCTGTAGCCGAACCCTTGTCCCGTAATCAAAAGCAAACAGCCATTAACAGAGCTCCTTCCTTGTTATCTCATACCGGCGACTCACTTAATCAATCTGGGTTCTCCTGGTTATTTCATTCGCTCCGTGGGTCGAGGCTGTTTCACGTGATAAAAACCTGGCTCCGCTCCAAATGCAGTACAAGTCAACTTAAACACCAGCACACAACATTGCATTTTGATTGGATGGGAAACAGGAAGATGCCCTGCACTGTAAGACCACACATCGGCCTCCTAGCACCTAAACTCTGTGTGTGTGTGTGTGTGTGTGTGTGTGTGTGTGTGTGTGTGTGTGTGTGTGGGTGTGTGTGCGTGAGTGAGAGTGTGCGCATGTATGTGCGTGCACGGCAGAGGACAAAATGCCCATTCAAAAAAAACACATCCCTCTTGTTGGCGGAGTGAATATCGAGTTTCGGACAGATGTGACGATCACATGGTTGGCTTTCTCGTGCCTCATTTTAGCAGGAGCTGCATGGGTTTGCGTCCTTGGACAGCCTGCGATGATGAAAATAGTTCTCACTGCAAGAAAATATCAGTTGGACATCTTTTACGAGTTTATTGAGTGTTTTAGGAATGAAAAAAATAACTTATTTTGTCTCACAGAAAGATAATTAGGTGTAACTTATTCTAAGTTCACCCTCTGGGGTCAAATAAGGAGCAGTATTATTATTATTATATGTGCAATATTTCAAGCAAAGTCCAGTAGTTATAAGAGCTGCACATGTATGAAAGCATTTTAGTATTTGTGTGAGGAGGGACATTAGATAAATAAAAATAAGTATCAATACCAAGCACACTACTATTCATTCACATGTAAGAAAGAATGTTTGCCATGGAGTTTAATTTTGTAGCAGGTTGGGGTGAATTTAAGGCCGACCACCTGACATTTTAGGCACTTTAATGTGTAGCAAAGCATCATTTTGTGTGTGTGAAACATCATCATAAAGTAGCTGCTGGATAAATGCAGTGGAGAGGAAAAAAAGTACAATATCTCCCTCTAAAATATAGTAGAGTAAAAGTATGGAGTACCAAAAATGTGACAAATGTAAATAAAGTACCTCACAATTGCACTTGAGTAAAAAAAAATGTATCTACCGGGAGATAGAGATGCCTTTAGAATAACACAAGCACACTTTGCAGCACATTTCTATACAGACTTTAAAGATCAATATCAGACATTAACAAAAACAAACTACAATGAGATGTCAAATAACAGCCGAGATCCCCAGACAGTGTGAGCGCGTTACCACTGATATGAGCGCTCTGCCGCCGTCTCGGTGCGCTGTGCTGCTCGAGCTTTGCCTCGCTCAATTACGCCTCCCGCGGAGCTCCGTGCGAGCGTTAAACGAAACATTAGCACCTCATTTAAAAAATAAAACAGGCCTTTCACAAGGACAGACAGCTCCCTGGGTAGTCTTATCATGCGCAAATTAGCCAATTTACCAAACCGTTCCCTCTCTCTCTCTCTCTCTCTCTCTCTCACACACACACACACACACACACACACACACACTCACTATCATCTGCAGCTAGACGCATCCTCTCTCTGCCAGTGTTGTCACACTGAGGACTTAAAGGAAGTTACAAAACGGTGAACACAGAGTTCAGTCGTTGAGCAACATTAAGGAAATAGTAGTTTTTACTTTTAACAGCGTGTCTGGTCTGTACTTCATATGTCTCTATAATTACTTTATATTATTATGATTATGATGTTAAAAATGATACTTTTGCTATTTGAAATAGGTTTTGTGGGGGGGGGGGGGATTCATTACAGGGTTTATTATAGTTGCATATTATATGATAGTTTTAAAGGAGCCATGGCTCTGGGCTTGACATGTTATCATAAACACGCTGCCTATAATCTGCACTTTTATGAAAATGTGTTATGAACGAAAAAAAAATGTATTTTGGTCTCTGGGGGGGTGACATGATGCGCAATACTTTTCCGCACATGCAGCGTCCTGCAGCCCACTGTCACAGACAAGACACGCTGCTAAAACTACAGTGTGATGAGAATGTAGCAAATACATCTTTTTAGGGTGAAACGCTTGATGGACTGCTGGAAAGCACCGCCCTCCCTCCCCTCCCGCCGCTCTGTGATTGGAGGAGCGGCTCTGAGGGTGTGGCTTGTGATGCCTCTGGTATATATCGGCACCGCTTCGTCCCCCAGCCGTTGATTTGTATGGGAACCAGGGCTGAGGTGGGACAAGCCGACTGGATGTAGTCGCTGTGGTTTTTTTAGAGAAAGAAACGAGGCCCACCTTTTCCCGTTTGCAGCGATCGGACAGCAGCAGCACGTGGGTTGTTTTTTTAATATCAGACTGTCTGAGGATACTGAAAGCAGTTTCCAGAAGAAGGTGGATTCTCCTCTCAGCCATCTTGACTGCTCGCCGCCCTGAAGGCTGTATTCTCTCCTCCTCCTCCTCTTCCTCCTCCTCCTCCTCAGCTGAAAGTAAACACGGCTTGCACATTGCTTGCAACTCCGTGCAGGATCCCGAGAGAAGCGAGATGGGCTCGCTGCGCAACGTCTAACCGGACCGGAGGCGAAAGCAGACGGCGGAGAGGATTTATCGGTACCAGAGCAGAAGAAGGGGGGGGGACACGACGCGCCGGAGGGATGGACCTGTTTGGGGTTTACCTGCTCCTCTCGCTCGCTCTCCTGCCCCGATCCAGCTGCACCACGGCCAAGGAGATCACCTGCCAGGAGATAGCCGTGCCCCTGTGTAAGGGGATCGGCTACAACTACACCTACATGCCCAACCAGTTCAACCACGACACGCAGGACGAGGCTGGACTGGAGGTGCACCAGTTCTGGCCTCTGGTGGAGATCCAGTGTTCGCCGGACCTGAAGTTTTTCCTGTGCAGCATGTACACCCCGATCTGCCTGGAGGACTATAAGAAACCTCTGCCGCCGTGCCGGAGCGTGTGTGAGAGAGCCCGGGCCGGCTGCGCGCCCCTCATGAGGCAGTACGGCTTCCCCTGGCCAGACAGGATGAAGTGCGACCTGCTGCCGATGCAAGGCAACCCCGACACTCTGTGCATGGACTACAACAGAACCGACTCCACCACCGTGTCCCCCGTCCTCTCCAAACCCACCAACAACCCCTCCAAGGGTTACAGCCCCCCTAAAAATAAGCCGAGCCGACCCGGCGCGCCTGGGAAATACAAGCTGCCCGCCTCCCCGTGTGAGCCGGGGTGCAAGTGTTTGGAGCCCATGGTGCCGGTAAACACGGACCGTCACCCGCTCTACAACCGCGTCAAAACGGGACAGATCACCAACTGTGCCATGCCGTGCCACAACCCGTACTTTACGCACGACGAGAGAGCGTTCACCGCCTTTTGGATAGGACTCTGGTCCGTGTTGTGCTTCGTGTCAACTTTCGCCACCGTCGCCACTTTCCTCATCGACATGGAGCGGTTCAAGTATCCGGAGCGACCCATCATCTTCCTCTCGGCCTGTTACATGTTCGTGTCCGTCGGCTACATCGTCCGACTGATCGCAGGGCACGAGAAAGTGGCGTGCAACCGGGAGTTCGATCTGGAGCACATCCACTACGAGACCACCGGCCCGGCGCTCTGCACCGTGGTCTTCCTCCTCATCTACTTCTTCGGCATGGCCAGCTCCATCTGGTGGGTCATCCTGTCTCTGACCTGGTTCCTCGCGGCCGGGATGAAGTGGGGCAACGAGGCGATCGCCAGCTACTCCCAGTACTTCCACCTGGCCGCCTGGCTCATCCCCAGCATGAAGTCCATCGCGGTGCTGGCGCTGAGCTCCGTGGACGGGGACTCGGTGGCCGGCATCTGCTACGTGGGGAACCAGAACCTGGACAACCTGCGGGGCTTCGTGCTGGCCCCTCTGGTGATTTATTTATTCATCGGCACCATGTTCCTCCTGGCCGGGTTCGTGTCCCTGTTCCGGATCCGCAGCGTCATTAAGCAAGGCGGCACCAAGACGGACAAGCTGGAGAAGTTGATGATTCGGATCGGGATCTTCACGGTGCTCTACACGGTGCCGGCCACCATCATAGTCGCGTGCTACTTTTACGAGCAGCACAACCGGCAGAGCTGGGAGATCACGCACAACTGCTCCAACTGCTTGCTGGAGCGGGACCGCAGCAGCCCGGACTACGCCGTTTTCATGTTGAAGTACTTTATGTGCCTTCTGGTGGGCATCACGTCCGGGGTGTGGATCTGGTCCGGGAAAACTTTGGACTCGTGGAGGACTTTTTGTACCCGGTGCTGCTGGGGCAGCAAGGGCACCAGCGGCTCCATGTACAGCGACGTGAGCACCGGGCTGACGTGGAGGTCTGGCACGGCCAGCTCCGTGTCTTGCCCCAAGCAGATGCCATTATCCCAGGTTTGAATGACGGATGGGGGGGGGGGGGGGTCAGCTTATGAGGACTGCTAATTGTTTGGGAGATAACCCATCACTCCCTGTCTTAAGCAATTTGCATAGTAATGAACTGCTGCTGAGGTGACCCCCCACCCTTCCCTCTCTCTCATTCCCCAAAACATCCACACACCTCTGTGGGGAGAGCTGGCTGAAACAATGTCCCTGGCATTCACACAGGTTCGATTCCTCCCTGTTTGTATGGATTAGAGGTGCACACAAACCTTTGGCACAACTCGCCATATAGAGAGACAGGTTCGCTCCTAAGTAGCTTCACACAAAGAGCATCTGGGTCCTCAATGCCATTTTTTACCTACACAGTGCCAGTTAACATTGTATCATCCAATCACATCAAAGATGGTTTAAATTAAGCCTTAATAGTGCCCAAGTGTTGTTTTTTTACGGGTCGTTCATTTTGTAATTTTTTTAAAATGTATTTATATAAAAGTTCTGTAAGAAGAAAGAAAAACCATGTACATTTGTGTATAAAAGAAAACTTTATAAGCTATTGTAAATTTGTACAAAGTGTAGATGTCTCTTTTTGTGAGAAAAGCAAATATGAGCTTTATTTTGACAATAAAACATTTTTTTGATAAATCTCAACTTCCTGTGAACATTTGCAGTGTTTCTTTCCCCCCAATGTGCCAAGGAGGTTGTCAAGGCAGATTGTTTTGTGGTGTGGTCACCGTGTTGACGACGGCGGCTTTCTGAGAGCCCCCTCGGCTAAAAAGGAAGCCCTTTTTATAACCATCAGAGACCGGTAATTAGAGGCAGGGGTTGAGTTGGAGCATCTCCATAATTGTTGAAGGCCTCTTCACATGCCTGCCGAAGCCCGCTTTTTTCTTAATTTAGCAAAAGAGGGAGTGGGTGAATGGGGGTATAAATGCAGGGAAGGGACCCTTTTCATCTGCAGAAACTTTGATCTTTCTTTTTTAACAGACGAGAATAAAGGTGGTGTGTATTAGGAGTGTCTGTCTGATGTGCCAAGGTTCCCCCTAAACGTCCCCATTTGGATGCTTTGATGGACGTCCCTACAATTCAAAGAGCATTTTGGAACCCCCTTCGCTTTTCTGGGTTTGTCAGAGCTGAAACCTGCCAGAGCCCCTGCATCTTGTGTTTAGTTTTTTTCTTCTTCTTCTTCTCTTTTTTTCGCAGGGCCTGAATTGAAACATCTTCTCCCTCGGCTCAAGCTGTGTCAGCGAGTGCAGGGGCCTTGACATGAATGATATTGAAATAGCAATGAAAGCCCCACAGGTGGTCTGTTCACATGATCTCACATCTTAGGGCCCCCTAATCGAGGCTTTTTTTTTGTCGCTACAAATGTATCTGGTTCGGTCCCAATTAACCCAATGCGCTGGCATAAGATGATACACTGTAACCCAGCGAAGAAATGCTTTTGATTTGCAGGTCAATGGTGACAGTGGGCTTTGTAGTGACTGCTTTGTTACTGCTTTATTCCTTTACACTCAGACTGTAGACGTGCACCTCCAAAAGAAAAGATTATTTTTCAGACATGCATCTGTTGGGAGTGTAAATCAGCCATATAAATCTTGCATCAGCGCTGTCAGCAAAAGACACCAGTAAAGATGGAAGTCGTAACAAAACTTTTCTTAAGATCAAAAAAGAGCGGCTTCTTGAGCATTTCGCTTCCGTGTGGCTCATCAATAGTTCTGAGTGTTTGTGTAAAGTTTGTATAGATCAAGTTTGGGAGTTTAAATCTTCATTAAAAAAAAAAAAAGAAATGTAAATATTGCACTGCTGTCTGTTTGGTAAAGATCTAGCAGGCAGGTTCAGTCTCTGTATCATTTGCGGTTATAGTTCCATGAAAAAGTCACGGTAGCCTTCACTGCTGCAGCTTGTGTGTTTTTTCTGGTGTTTACCTCAAAAACCTCAGTGAGCGTGTGCAGCGACACTGATGTGCAGCCCCACCAAGTGGTAGAAGCAGAACTGCACACCTGCACACGCCTCCTCGTTTAGCTCTTGATTCTGAGTGTTTAGACGAGGTCTCGGCTCCCAAACTAACACAGAAGTAAGTGTGTGCTGATAACTTTGATGTTCCTATACTCATGTACTCACACACACACAACAAGGAAAAGTTCATGACTTGATGGATTCAGAAAGAAAACAATGAAATGTTCTCATGTTAGTGTGATCCACACACATGTTGGTGTGATAAGTGGGAAGGACAGTGAGCAAGAAAAACAGAGATGGCAACATAAAAGCTGTTCTAAATGTGTAAACTTCTATAACTTTTAGAGAAATGATCGATCAAATAATCAGTGACTATTTTAATAGATTTATCATTTCAGCCATTTGTCAAACAGAAATAATGGAAAAAAAGACACACAATAAAACATTCCCTTGTGTCAGTGTCTCAGATATGAGCACTGGCTTCTTTTATTTATCATCATATTAAAGGAAGTGGGATATTTTGGGAGTTTTTAAAAACCAGACATTTGAAAGTGTCGACTGGAGTTGGGATGGATATTTTCTTTTCACTATTTTTGACTTTCATAGACGAAACCATTCAAAACAGAATCAATTCATCTTGTATTTGAGTTACATAAGAATAATTAATTATAGCGCCTCCATAGATGAGTAGCACTTAAAATCATGCATTTATGTCCAAAATGGCATTGATGTCATAACAGTGAGGGAAATATATTATCTAAGCTACTGGCTTGATTCAGGGCTTTTTGTGTGGACATAACCGTATAGTCTGCTGAAGCCAGACCTGAACAATCCCACTTAAACTTGACTGAAAGTTACAATTCAATTTATTTAGTGTAGCCCAAAATCACACATTTGCCTCAGAGGGCTCTACAATCTGTAAACATACAACATCCTCTGTCCCGGGACCCTCACATCGGTACAGGAAGAACTCCCCCAAAAAACCTTTAACAGGGAGAGAAAAAGGAGGAAAACCTTAGAGAGCAACAGAAGAGGGATCCCTCTTCAGGATGGACAGAAGTGTGATAGATGTCATGTGTACAGAATGAATAACATAACAGAGTTACAACACATTCAATGCAGAAATGATTCATATAATGAGTAGTAAGCAGAATAATAATGGAACAATTACAACTACTAGTAATAACAATATAGCAATGTGACTACTAATGAGAGTAGCAGTGGGTGTCAGGCAGGACCACGGCAGGAGGCAGACCTGTGAGGTTGTACTATTAGCTTCTTTATACAAAGCTTCTCAAGTTGCCCTCTTTTAATGAGATCTTTATGACCGAAGTTAAAGTTTAGGACCGCTGTTAACACCATTTATTAGACATTTTAAAACAGACAGTCACCGCTAAACACATAACCCTGGCTCCACAAACCAACTGTCCAGCTACTTAAAGCGGTGTGTCCTGGCTCGACCGTTACATGCACACACATTGTAATTAACCGGTAACGGCCCGTTTCCTCCACAAGGGTCACCGACCCAATTCGCTGCAGTGTACAGGAGAAAGTATGAGAGTGCCATTAGGGTAACTTTCACACAGACAGGGTCGGCCTTCTCAGAATGGCTGGGTTTTAACGGGTAATAGTCCAGGTCATGACTTTATGGTTCAGTTTAACTATATAGGTAGTATTTTATGGACATGCCTGATCTGATCTCGTCAGGGCTTGTTCATGGCCCCGGAACAAACAATTGTTTTCACCGGGCCACATCGGTGCCACATCGATGGTGGCTCCATCCTAAACAACTCTGGTAATAAATAAATCCCTCCGACCCGAGCATGAATCCAGAAGACCATCTGCCAAGCAGCCGATTGAATTGTCTCCTTCCCCCTTATATAAATGTTAAAGCCTCATTTGTGGCGTCGGGAGGAACGTTCTGACACGGCCCAACATTAAATATTAATGGTAGTGTTTGATGGGAGGCAAACACAGAGGGGAGTAGGGAGGATGATAGGCAGGCCATGCCTGATAATACTGTTGATCATTATGATACATCTGGGTGAAGGTTGTTTATTTTTAACTCTTAATGCACGAGAGGAGACACTGCAGATGTGAACATCTTGTCACCTGCATTAGTCGCTTTTGTATTAAAGATTGCGACAGATAATCATATCAGACCATATTTGGTGTTTCTAAACGTGACTTCAAAAGGGTATTAAGAATAAAATGTGCCCCAAAAAAGTTAAATGTGTTTCCTTTACAGATTCGTGTAGCTGTGGACATTAACAGCATGTACATCAAAATGTAAAGCCCCCTCATGTGATTAGGATTTATAAATATGCCAGTTACTATCAGTCCTCTTTATTTTCCAGATTACATCAGTGGAAGATGAACAATAGCACTAAAAAGTTTCCGTGAGTGCATTCTTCCATGCATGGAGCATAACAGTGACCTCGGGTTTCTGTGACCCATTTCCATTCGTGTTGGAGCTCCTGACCTCCAGCTCAGGCACACTGGCCACTTGAGACGGCAGATGTTGGAAAATAGAGGGGTTCAGGCTCTGTGGTTAGTGTCTATAGGGGACTCGGACGTCATCGACGCTCTTGCAGATTAGGTTTAAAAAAATGTTTAAAAAACAAAATGGGCCAGTGATGCAGTTTTTAACCAATAAATGCTTCACTTTAGCACCATGACTGAGCCTCACAGAGATATCAGCAGAAGTTGCCGGCTCCCTGTTGGCACAGCAACAATGCCCCTGTGGTTTAGTAGTCCTTACAGTGCCCCCCTGCTGCCTCTTCCAATCCAAGGCCCCCCCCACCACCACCTCCATACACACAGCGGCAGAACACTGTGTTCCCTCAGTCCTTCACTGACATGTACACAAAAGGAAAACGTCTTTCATCTGAAGCGCCGAGTGTTTTGCCAGATTCACTCTGGGCTCGGTCACATTGGGGGGGGGGGGGGGTGTGACATGTCGGTTCTGATAATAAATAAATAGCAGCAGAACAATCGGAGGATGAGCGAGAGCGATGCTGCTGTTTATAGTAATACAGGGGCGATGCTACTGACCACAAACGTACTCTGTAGCAGTGTGCCGTATGTTACATGAAGGGAGATTAACACACAATATGACCAAACCTTTAGCATTTCAAATATGATTTATTGAAAACAGTAGTTCCATGCAATTTGAAATTATTCACAAAGATTTTGGAAAGTATGCTGAAAGTCACATGTAATATGAGGCAAGAGGACAAATCTTGTATCGTTATTATGCTGGAAAATGAGTGTCACACCACACCTGGTACACAGGCCAAGTTCAGTTCTGTCAAACTGAATATAATGTTCAGCCAAGATATCAGAATTTGTTGAAAATGTAAATTCCATTTACAGTGTACTACTCCATGTTGCATGCATCCCTCCAATCAGTCTGATGAAACAAAGTGGCCCACTATCACTAACTTAACTAATGTTTTCCCCATAAAGCAGCCTGTTCTGTACTGCAGAAACTTTATTATATGAAACACCCAGTTCTGTCCACTTGAGGGAGCCATTAACCAGACGTAGTCTCTTCTCTCACAGCTCTGACTGGACAGCATCAGATAGAACTTATTGAATTTAAGAAAATATAATTTTCATTGTATTTGTTGTATCATTACTGAGCACTACTGCGTGTCCCTGAGTTGGACCTTCATGCGGTAGGGTTTAGGGTGACCCTGTAGACAGGGGTGTAGTCTGGCTGTCCTGCATCCTCCGGCCAGACAAACTTGAACCTCCTCAGCAGAGTCACCACGATGAGGAAGAGCTCTATACGAACCAGACCATCTCCGAGACACATACAGGGACCTGAGACATTTAAAAAAAAATTGCATTTCTCCCAGCATGCCCCTCCCTTCTGAGCTGTGTCTAATACAGGAGGTGATAACATGTTGTACAGTTTCTGGTGCCTGGCAGTGCTCACAGAGACCGGTTGGATGCTTTCCTATCATGTGTAGTGTACTGCGTAGATTGTTGGGCCCTATTCTTAATCTTAATATTGTGACCTCTTCTCTCCTGTATCTTACACTGCTCACTTTACTCTGAATTGAATGTACAGTAGGTGTCTCCCCCTCGTCTCCTGATCCCAATGTTGTTGCCATACTTTGTTGATATTTTTCCTGATGATGCGCTTTCCCTCTGCTTTGGATAAATTGATACATACGTCTACTTTGTTTTCCTTTAGTGCTTGTTTGGCTAGTTTGTCCACTTTTTCATTTCCTCTGATACCTACATGGGCCGGTATCCATATAAATACAACTTCAGTGCCTCGTTCTTTTGCTCTAGACTTGATTTGACATTATTTTTAGTAACAGATCTTGTCGAGTATTGGACATACCGGACTTCAGACTAACGAGTGCAGACATGAAGTCACTGCAAATAAGGACTTTGCCTGGTCTGTGTTGTTCAACCCACTCTAGGGCCAAAAAAAATTGCATACAATTCAACTGTATACACAGCTAAAAAATTCGAAGTGCGTTTAAATATTTCAAATTTGTGACTAGGAACTGCAACAGCAGATCCTGTACTGTCTGCAGCTGGATATTTTGATCCATCGGTAAAAACATGCACATGCTCTGGGTATATATTATCTGTGTACTCATAGAACTCACTCACTAAATCAGTATTTTTATGTCTTACCTTAATTTGCAGCAACTCCATGTCCACCTCTGGTTCTTTAAGCATCCACACAGGAGTTATTGGCCTAACGACAGTAGGGCAAAGCTCTATATCAGAGACTCCTAGGCTTCTTGCTGTTGCTTCTCCTATCCAGCCAAAGCTTGTCTTTGGTACTTTATGTCTTTCCCAAAATGCCTGTAATACTTTGACTGCGAAATGCAGTTTAAGTGCCTCCCACTGGTCCAAAATGTGTGAAACCGCTGTTTGAATGGAGAGCTAACGTGTGGCACACACCTTGGTTATTTGTTAGGGTTTCTCCCCACAGTTGATGGTCTCATATATGGCCTTGTAGGTCTCCCTGCGCTTTGGAGACATTGAAAACCAGTTATAAGTCTCCCGTACCAAGTACTCCACACTACGGGGGATGGTGTCATTGGAAGCATGACTTACAGCAAGCTGTATAGAGAGTGACACACACAGCGAATAAGAACCAGCTCTTTGAGGCCATACTCCTCCTTCAGCACTTTATGGACCCCATTGTTAATCCCCGTCATAACAGAGGCATTGTCAGGCCCTATCCCCAGGAGTCCCTTCTCCAGGAAAGCCACAACAGCTCGGGCTATAGATCTGACATCTCCTCCCTCCAACTCAACAAGCCCCAGAAATGTTGAGACAATTGTGTGTTTGGTGTTATTAAAAAGTACCTTATCACAACCCTCAGGTACTTAGAAACACTTACATCTGTGGACTCATCGAGGAGGAGGTTGAAACGCTGGTCACCCACATCTGCGACCAACTTTATTAGAAAGTATGGTGCTAGAATTAATCATTAATCATCATTAATCATTTCCGTGCACTTTGTCCTGTGTGCATTTTGAAGTGAGTAGCAGCGGTGGAGTCTGAGAAAGCAGCTTTACATGCTTTCCCAATGTGATCACATGCCAGCATGGAACAGTGTTCAGCAATAGATAATGCCATGGTGGCTTCAGCCTTTTTTGCAGAGTCAAATTAAAAAAAGAAAATGTTTAAAAAGGTGTCTCTACCTGATTTATTGAAGGAAAGTGTCATATTCACATATGAAAATCTGTGTTGGAGGTGTTGGATTTAATATATTGCAGCATTTCACATTTTGCGTCACTGGAGGGCAGCATGATTTCAAGCTACGGTATTGGTGATGTAACTGCAGCATACTGGATCAAACAAGAGCAGTTACAATCAAGTGCTTTGAAAAGCAACACAATCTTCACTGTCATAGACAAAAGTCAATGAGACATAGAAACATAAGAGATCAAACTATCACAGAATTTTTTAATTTATAAAGAAACAAACGTTACATAAAACAGCGTATCAAACTGTATATGAATTCAATTGATATTGTATTGGAAGATAACTATAAATTGTTTTGGGAATATGACTTTCATTAAGAATTAGGCACTGATGGTCTTCAATCTCAAATAAATCGCAATATAAAAGGAAATAATAGGTTTAGCATAAAACATATAGATTATTACATTTTTGTACATCGGATACCACAACAAAAACATCAGTTAATGCAACATATCGTTTAGGAAGTCACTTAGTTTTAGCTTCTTACATGAACAATAACCCAAAAGTTACACATTCTACCCAGACTTCACAAGTGTAACTGAGTCCATGTAGGAGGAGGTGCGGCACCATTAGACCTGCTGTGCCCCCCCGTGGTCACCCGTATGACAGTCAGGGTGCAGCCCTCAGTAGATAGGTGAGACTTGAGGCTAGGGAGCTTTTGTTGTCACCTACAAAGAGACCACAAGAGGAGGAAGATCAAGAGCTATCCATTTACACAGAGACCGGCCCCTCAGCTATAGAGCGGCAGGTGCAACTGTGAAGATTTACTGTGGGAGTCTCCTCGCACTCATCTGTGTTCGGTAGTCCAGAGATTTCAAGAAAATAGACCGACAGGTTGCTAAAAACATTTCAGCAAAGGAAAATGTCAATTCAACGCTACAGCAACCCAACTGTACACAGTATACTGTCTGTGATTGACAAGTGTCACAGTGGGAGTGTCTGACCCACATTAATCTGAGCTTTGATCAAGGTGAAACCAAAGCCAGCGCAAGCAGGGAGGACATATCGGGCAACGCTGCTCTTTTGCGGAGCTCCGCTGTGCTCTATTTCTAGTGACGGTGTATGTTAAGGCTTGTATTCCTCCTAAGCCCCGCGAGGCCCTGAAATAGAGTGACAAGCCATCTCCATAAATACAGAGCCCCTATGGGGGAGCATAATTGCTTTGTGAGCCTATGTCGGCTTTCAGGTCCTTCATGGTGTCCTTCGCTTCTGACGGAGGAATCCTATTCCATTCCATGAGTCCGATAACACCACCTCAGCCAGATTATTTGTCTTTTCATTTGAGCCTGACCTACTTATTCCAAAAGGTCACCCAAACATCCAAGAACAGGACCTGAAGGCTAACCATGGCCTTTGACCCCAGTGACCCAAACACAAAAGAGATGGTGGTATCATACAGAGTGAGGGGTGGGGTTATATATATGTGGGACAGGTCAAGGCCTGTCGTTGTTTATGGACAGTGTGTCCGGGGAGGTGGGGGTAAAAGCCAACGAGGGAAGAAACAGGTGGGCTGCTCTCTTTTAGATCTTCTCAAGGTTGAGGTTTGTTACAGGACGCTGAAGGCCAGAGTGTGCTGTCATTCTTGACTCGTTTTGTTCAGAGAGTTCCTTTTCAGGACTTCAATTCTTGTCACTTTCAACACTCAGCTCGTGCCTCTCAAAAGGCAACGTGATCTGATGGCGTGTTGAAATCACATCAAATGCGACTGTGCCTCGTGGGTCTAAAGTGTCTTGTGAATGTATTGTCGTTGTGGATTCCCGTCAAGTGGCAGTGCAGTGTGCATTTTAAAATGGAGGTAGAGAGCTTGGCAGGATGTCGGCTCCATCAGTTGTTGCCACTGTGTAAGCCTGGGGTTATCTCTCTGTTTATCACATTGCTTACGCACCCATTTGTCCCATCCTTGTGCTCCAAAATAACCTGGAAATAAAGCAATCCAACCCTCACACCCACTCAGATTTTTTCTCTTCATCATTGGCCTGTGGCTCTGCGCCGCTACCCAGCTCAACCAGCGTATACTGACCCACCCTTCTGGTACAAATTTTTGTGGAAACGTCTCCAAAGGGCCCTGCTGGCTCCCTGGGGGAAGACCCAAGGTCCCGCCTGGGTGGAGGTGGCGGTTTGAGTCGACCGCGTTTGCTGACACGGATTGATCTGGGTGTCTCCATTGGCTCTGGGGGGTAGAGAGCCACCTCGCTGCCATTCCTTTCCAGAGCTTCCTCTTGGGAAACAGAGTAGCCGTTGTTTCCATTGGTGTTGCAGCTTGGGTGTCCTGGAGAGCGTGGAAGAGAGGAGCGCCCAAGGCAGGGTGGTTCCTGACCTAAAGCAAGACCTCCACAAGAGCCCTTGCTGCCTCGCCTTTTCCGGAAACTCCCCGTGTGACCAGCCTCTGCTTCTTGTTCCTGCTTAGCCGGTGAAGCGTTTGGGTCCATTCCTCTCGAGGCTCCCCTGCCTGAAAGGAAACACTGCTCTTCCTCATATATCTTCTCCACCACCATCATCTTGCTCTTGCTCTTCTGCCTCACCGAGCGCTTGATGGCGCAGATGAAATCCAGCACGTTTAGGAAAAGGGACAAAGTTGCCACGCCGAGCATGAAGTTGAGCATCACGGTCTTCTCGGTGGGCCTGGAGATGTAGCAGTCCACCTGGGTGGTGCACGGTGTGTGCTGGCACAGGAACCTCTTGGGGATGTAGAAACCAAACAGATAGTAGTGAGCTGCCCCAAACCCGGCCTCCAGCAATGTTCTGAACAACAGATGGAGGATGTAGGCTCCCGTGAAGCACCGGGCCCACCCTCGCTCAGCCATCTTGTTTACCGATGTCTTGCTGAACGGCTCCTGGTGGATCTTGAGCAACGACAGGGCTTTGGTGTGACCTGTGGGGTTCAGGTCCACGGTGAGGCCATTCGAGACCTTGTGGACCACGTAGATGATGAAGATGAAGTAGGGGAGACACAAGGTGACGAGCTGCACCAGCCAGAAGCGGAAGAGAGAGATGGGAGAAAATAGATCGTAGCACACGTTGGCACAGCCGGGCTGAATGGTGTTACACACGAATCGCTCCTGCTCGTCCTGGTAGAGAGGATAACCTGCCAAGAGGAGGATCAGGATACGGAGGAAGATCATCACAACGAGCCACACCTTCCCTGAAAAATAAGCACGTTGGTATCAAAAATGTGCTGATTTGACAAATCGACCTGCTTGAGATTTCACCTCGAGGTTTATAGATCTCTCGAAGAGCCAACATATCTCACTGCACAAACATAACACAGAAACCAGTTACAGTGTCAGTGAGGCCAACTCACCCATCAAAGTGATGTTGTGGTTGACAGAGATAAAGATGACTTCAGAGGCACTTGATCCCGTCATGCTTGCAGTGCTCAAGGCCCTCCAAAACCTTCCAGTTTCAGGCCCCAAAGTAAACCCCTGCACCTCACTCCCTGTCCAGCCACTTCTCCCCTCCCCTCCTTACAAAGGGGCACATTAGCTTCCAGTAGCACAATAACCTCCAGGTTGACAGACATAAAGTTCCCTCAGCAGTCTGACTCTCTCTCTCTCTCCTAGAGGGATTATGTGCCAGGTTCCGGGAGGGAAAATCCAGCGTGATCCATTTGAGTCACCCAAGTCTCAGAAAGACCCATGTAAATACTCTGTCTCACCTCTTCCTCTGTTCCCTGCAGACAACGGTCTGTCCTCAGACAACAGAAGACGGGAGCGAGCCCCATTGTGGGTCTATTCTTAACACACTTCCAAAGGCACGTCGCCGTCCTGGCATTGCAGAGATATTTTGGTGCCGCCGGTCGTCCTTACAGGAGAGAAACAAGCCTCCGGGCTTACTCACTCGGAATTGCTGTATTAAGTTCTCAAGCACAATAGCAAACATGTTCAAACTGGCTGCTCCATAAACATACAAGCAGTTACTGCTGCATTTTCCAGTGATGAGTCAAGATAGCATGTAGATATGCAGAACCGTAGATTGGATTAGCTCTCAAGAAATGTTAGTAAGATGTAAACTGTATTTTCCCACAGCTCATGCCAGTGTACGATGTGATAAGCACCCACTGTATAGCCATTTAATATGGGTATGCAATTAAACTCTAATTATCAATCTGAAGTACAACAGGAGTTCAGATATGATCAAGGAACCAGATTTACACTTTTCTTTTATAAAATGAGATTAATTCTACCTTTAATATAAGCTTCAACAAATGCTCATCGTGGTGCAGATCTCATTAAATGATTTTACAGAGGACATCAGTTCCTTTCACACATGCTGCATCCACCCTCGCTCATGGACAAGTTCTCTGGTGGGACACAGGGCTCAAGACATAATCACTACAGATCAATGGTCATTAGCACCCACACACTGACTCTCAGTGTGAATCCCACACAGCTCATTTTGAATTGATAGCAAAGCCAAGATTTGGAATATATAATAGATTGTGTTAAAAAGTAGTGTGTGAAATCGAACTTTTGGCTTAATAGGGCATGAAGAAAAATCACTCGCATCTGCAATTAATGTACACGGGCGCTGTAGCGCTGACATTGCATATAAAGGGCAGTAGATGTGTGGCACTGAGAAAGTTTGAAAGGGGCGAAGAGTAAGTGAGGGCAGAGTTTTATTATAGCTAAAGTATAGATGGTCTATCGGTTAAAAATAAACATTGGAAAGTCCAGAAAAAGCAAAGCAAAACCCCAACATGTCAGCCACAGCAAACTGCCAGCCTCACTCCCACTACAGAGGGGTGACTGAAGGCTGACCTCCCCAGACTCATTTAAACTGGAACGTACCATCGGTTCACGTGAGAGCGGGGTGAGCTGAACAAGTGCAACCTTTATAAAAAATACCCAATAAATAAATGACGAGTTCAAGTTACGTAGTCAAAGTAAGGTCAACATTTGAAGTTGTCTATTGGCACACTCAAGCTCACGCATAAGCATAACCAACTCTAATCAGGTGTCATCAATCGAACAGGTTTACCTGCCCAGTTACTGCTTATGGGATAATCAGGCACACCTGATTTCAATCTCACTGATTGAGCAGATGACCTGAACCAACACACAAAAAAACATTTTATATTTTATATATATAAGTAATTATCACCTTCATGTTAAGTGTTCTCCAAATATATCCCCTGCTTTTATACAATTAACTAAATACATATTGTTTTAGTAGATTTGATCTTTGATAGATATTTTTGCTCATATTATTGGTTCTCCACTAGTTGATGCCATTTTTGTAAAGATGTTATGTTTATGATGTTGCAGACCCAATGTCTTTCATTATATTATAAAAAATAAATAATGGACTGATCTGTACTCACTGTAACAAAAAGCAAGGCAGCAAGAACTCGTACTTATTTTGTGTCTCGTCTGCTTCGACTCTTGTCACAAATGCAAGCTGCATGAAAGTCAGAGGAAATGTAATAATAGTTTCCATAAAGCCGTAGTTTATTTACAGAGAGGAATACCTGCCGTTGAGCTCATGGGGTACCGTGTCTGTACTAGAGTGTGAATGCCATTCATGGCTGTGTTTGAGGCCATATTGGCAATATTAGAATTTCAACAATTACTCCACCTTCCGTGCATACTAACTATCCCTCTCATTTCAGACCCTGCCATTCCCCACCTATCCAGCTGCTGCTACTTGGGCAATTTCCAGCCTCAGTCATTACCTGATCAGCCACCTTATCCCGCAGCTGTTCCCCATTTCCTCAATTAGCAATGTACATCCCGATAAACATCCCAACAGAATTTCAGAAGGCTTTCATAAGCCAACCAACTGCAGCACAGTACACGATGAGGCTGATTTGATTTAACATTATGATGCAGATTGAGAAACAGTTAATGACATTTTTCTTTTCTCTCTATCGGGGGTTCTGTCTCATTCACTGTTCATGATCTACTTCATCAACAAAGGAACACAGAAAACCCTTTGAGACTTTAAACAGAAATAAGATGTGTGATGGATATTATTCTCTTTCCTTCAGATCCCATTGAACACTGTAATGTCTTAAAGGAACAGTGCGTAGTATTTACTGGCAAAAATGGAATATAATATTAATTTCTATTTTTCATTGTCGTATTATCACCTGAACCAGAGAATCGTTGTGTTTTAGTTAGCTTAGAATGAGCCCTTCATTTATCTACATAGGGCGCGGGTCTTCTTCGCAGAGTCCGCCAGGTTGCACCGCCATGTTTCTACAGTAGCCCAGAACGGACAAACCAAACACTGGCATCTAGAGAGAGCTTTCACGTTTTTTAAGTTACCTGAGGGCCACCGTAGTTCTCCGACCCGCTTGGAAAGGGAGGGGTGAGCAAAGGGGTATGTACCTGCATGCAATCTGAAACCTCACCACTAGATGCCACTAAATCCTACACACTGCTCCTTTAAGGGATCAAATGTGGTTTTGTCAGCTTAAGGCTGCACTAAACAATATTTGTAAATGAATATGGGTCAAATGACTATGTGTCGTATAGGAGTCGTTCGGAAGGATGAGCAGACACTCGACCTTGCGGTTCCCATCAGCTCGAGGGAGCACTTTAGCGTCTTTAAGCTAACTGTTTTGGTTTTCTGGCCAGCAACTTTACCATTTTGGTTGAGTCTCCCCGCTCTCATTAACCTCGTTTCCAATAGCTGCATGCAGGACGATGTTTTTAGGGTTAACTACCCGCCCAGCACCAAACAGGAGACACACAAAGTTAGCAATTAGCTGGTGATCATTGTGGAGCACGTTTTGGTGGAGACCAAAACAGAGCAAGCGGGAGAGTGAATATTGGACTTACATTTGGCCAGAAACGCATCTTCAAAAGAAGGCTAATGTTGCTCCGTGTCTGTTGGATGTGTGAATTGGCGACAGCGTGCTGAAATCAAAGTGGTTCACTACAAAATATTTTCAACAAAACATAACCTACATTATTTAGTATATTGAGGTATATCAGTCTGCCTACCAAGGCTCTTAATGTGTGTTTTCTGGACAACGTTGCAAAGAGAATACAGTTTGAAAGAAATAAGAGTGTAAGGTGTACGTGTGTATGATGTGGTTCTCTCACTGAAGTTCACAGTTGCTCTTCATCGCATTGAATTGACTTGTATGGCAATTACCAGAGCAGCGATTGAAATGCAAATCGAGGCTCACACGGAGGATTAAATGTGTCCCTCAGTGACAATGTGGCAGTGTAATCTCTGATTATCGCTTGCTCTAAGCCATTTGTATGGTTCTGTCTGACAGGAGAAACCCTGCTGAGTCACATCAGTTGTACAATACAGTACATATCAAAACATTCTGATGGCAGCGTGGAAAGCAAATGGGAAGCAGCGTGAGCGATGGTTTGAGATCTCGGGGTTGCTTGTGCATTGGTCCTTCAGATCAAACAAGAGACACACGCTGGGTTTATTGCAAGGTTTTAAAGTTTAATTCTTGCACAGGTTTTTCTAAACATTGCTTCAGAGGAGAGGAATTGGGAGCAGTTTCTTTCATTAAATCATAGTGGAAAACGTAAAGAGAAAAGGACAGAACAGAGAGAGATCGGAGTTTGGCAAAAGAAACGGAATGGCTGACTCGCCGAAAAGAAAATGACACACTGACAATAACAAGCGTGACAACAGAATACAGCACATGTTGAAAATATCAATGTCAATGAAAAAAACAAAACAAAAAAAAAGGTCACAGCTACAGCAGACTGATGTTAGCAAGGGAAACCGTCATGAATGTGTGAAAAGACAACAAATTGTCGTCAACGAGAGGAAGAGAAATGAAGAGAAAACTCTATGCAGAGGTAGAGTTCAGTGCACAAGGCCATGACACACACACACACACCTAGTAGCCAGCCAACAGGACGCCACAGGCCCATGGTCCGTGATGTTGGAGGAAAGGACTCACCTAAGTGGACCACATGGCATCAACACTTACTTACTTGTGTGGGTCTAGAGAACACCTGTCCGGGCCGTATGCACGCACACACGCACACGCACACACGCACACACACACACACACACACACACACAGACACACACACGCACAATAAATAGGATATACAATCTTTGAATACCTCTAACATTTGGAACTCACAACAGCCACTCCAGCAACGGTACTTTCCCAAAGACAGTTTTGCACTTTTATTTTCCCCTCATCTCAAAGCACCATGCAAAACAACAGTTCTCCGTCTCCGTCTAAACACCTTTGTTTTTGTTTTCTATACTTCATGTGCAAAGTGTGAGCTGGGTCGGAGCAACACGTCCAACAGGACCGTCCTCTTCATTTCTTCACCACTTTGGTACGGTTCTGTCTCTGCTCACGCCCCCGCTGCTCAGGGCCTGGACATCTCACTGACTGATTCTCTGGTAGCTTGATGTGAAAGTTGCCAATGAAATGCACGGAATAAGCTCGAGGCTTGAAGGGAGGGTAGACGCTGACGCCCGATCTTTTGTTACAAAGATAAAATGCGTTACAAGCCTGGAAATGTCACGTGATGATATTTTTAAATGAATGATCTATTCAAGGATTTAGTGAAGCAAAATGTGTGTCCAGTTGATCTTAAGGCAAACAACCAGTACTGTAAAGTTTATGTAATAAAAGCGTTAATTCACACTTTTATGAACCCATTCAGGCGTCAATAATTCAACTGGTTGATTTTATGGGTTTACCTTCTGGATCCCTGGACTTAAGAAATGTTAAGACAAGAGCAAATCAGGAGGCGATGTCTTCATGGAGAAAAAAGAAAGTTCCAGATAAACGTTCAGAAAAGGTTATCAGAAAAGTCAATGTTATAACTGAATGCATAAATAAATAATATTGTTAGTTAAATAAAAAATGAATTTGCTGTAACCTTCAATAAGTTAATAAAATAAACCCAAACTTTATTTATTATCTTTCACCAACTTTCCAAATGTTTGGTCTTGGCACACATGTAATCATTTATCTACTCCTTATTTTCCATTTACTGCGCTATATTGCAGAAAATAATGTCCATGTCCATGTATGTCTAGGGCATGTGATTGGTGTGTGTGTGTGTGTGTGTGAGATCAGTTGGGCAACTGAAGTTGCAACTTGCAGTACTGACACAAAAAAATCCCCTGCAGCCCAAAAAGCATTTCCCCCAAAGACCCCCATTCTAAAAGAGACGTCTGTAAAACTGTAAAATTGAAAATGACACGAGGAAAAGGAAATGTTGCTCCGGGAACACAGGGAGTAGAGAAATGATTTAATGTGTGACAAGACCAAAACATGATGAGCTACAGTAGAGAAAGATAAAGAAGAAGAAAAATAAATTAAAAACTGATGGAGGTTGAAGGAAAACTATAAACTTTATAGCTCTTTTTTTACACTCCATTTAAATGATGTTATCATATTCATTGATGCATTGAGTTATACTGTGTTTTTGACATGTTTCTTTTACGGGGCTCCATAAGAACACATGGATCTGGTAATGCCTCTACAGAGTGGGGTAAGAAAAAAATCTTTAAAAAAGGATAACAAATAATAAAATAAGCCTGAATTGTTTCGTATAATTAAGTTACCATATACAGCATGTAGCACATACAAAAAACTTGGCATTTTCTGCTGTGTGAAAATAAACATCGTAACAAGAAAACTTAAGTGGTGTCTCCCGTTTAAATCGCAATACTTAATCTTTACTTGATTTGTCGTAGGAACATCCAACATATTCAGCATCCCCCTCGTGTACAGTATGAACTCATCCAATAGAAGTATTCTATCATCATTCTTTCTCTGGTTTTACAGTACGATCTCAGTCTACAGATTCTGTATTTACACTGTACAGAGAAAACTTAGCAAAACGTATACAATCCATCTTTTTTTGTAAGCAGTGTGTTGGAATGTGTCACTTAATGCTTTTTTTCTATCACTTGGGTTCCTCTCCAGAACAACCCTGACAAATAATCATGCGTTTAGTGGCTCCTAAATGTCGATATTCCACTTTGTGCTGTTTCTTTGTACGCTGGAAGAACCATACAAAATGTTAAAGAAAAAAAAAAGAAATATTTCAGTTATTTGTTCTATTCCTCCAGTAGAAAGGGGGAGAGGTGTTAAACTAGCTTATTACAGGCACCACAGGTCAGGACGATGGCAGTGAATTAAGTACAACACCAGTTCTACAGTACGTCTCATGTCTGACTGAGAGTCGTGGACCGCTGTCCTCCGCTCAGTCTCCTCCCGAGTATGCACGCTTCATCCTATTTAATCACAACAACCGAGCAATGCATGAATATTGCTTTAAGTGAATGGCTGTGTCGGGAACGTTGGCTGGATGGCCTCGCTGTGAGTTGAGTTTTCCTGGTCCTGTCAGAGCGAAAGACTGACTCGCTTTTTCAATGTCAGCCCTCCGAATGAGAGCTTCAATGAAAACGGCTACGATGAATACGATGATATGCAGTCCGGTCGAATGCATCAAGTGTACACTGAAGGTAACGGAGGAATGTACATGTCTTTCCCTTGTGTACGCTTGGATCTGCTCGCAAGAGGGTTCGCGCCGGATGGGGATGCAAAAAGAAGAGATGAACACCAACCAAATTTCCCAATGTGCCCGTCAAAAAAAATCCTCTCATGCTTCAGCTCAGAAAGTGACTGAACCGGAAGATTAAAAGGAAAAGGAATGTACACGGCCTCCCTCAATCAACCGCACGAGCGAGTGGAAGAGGGAATTATGGAACGCTGTTGTCGCCTGGTTTTTCCACATTAAGCTTGTCCCAACTTCACACAGTCTGTCATCTACAGTATATATATATATATATATATGTATTGCCAGCTGTGTTTCTGTTCGGCCTCTTCTTCTGCAGTCGAGGTCTTCATTCCAACAACTTTCACTCACGCACTTCAGTTTGGTTCAGCTCAGCTCTGTTTGGTTCAGTGCAGGCAGCCAGTGGAACTTCTTTTATGTACAACAACCAGAGAGGGTGCAATCACACTTGTAAAAGTGCTAGGTTTTGTGTGTGTGTGTGTGTGTATGTGTGTACTGATCCACAGGACTGCTGCCCGCCTGGTTTGCCTGCTTACCAGGCAGAAACACAGTACAGTATGTCCGACAGGTCTGTCTCCGTGCTGCGGGCAGTCAGTGTTAGGAAATGATGGCTGGACACCACCGCACCACCGTCAGGTTGTCCGCACTCACTGACCGCTTCTTCGTTTGTTTCCTCGAGTCCTTGTATATGTCGTCACACAACCGCGAGATGGCCTGAAAGACAACAAACAAACAAAAACACAGAAGAAATGAGATGGAGCATGCTTTGGTGTATCCGGTGAAAAGATCAGAACTCTTCTCGGGACTGTGTGGGCGTGTCCAAACTGGGCTGTCTCGTCAGTGTGGGACACCTTAGCCTGTTGTCGTTTCCATTGGCTCATTGAGTTTTGTGACATTACATATATCCACCTAGCTTCCACCTGACTAACGTCCAACCAGCCGGAGCTGCTGAGAGCTACTGTGCAGGGCCTTTAAAACAGGCACTGTGGTGCTTCTTTAGCATCTTACACCAATAGGACAAGTATATAGGCCAATGAATAGACTCTTTTTCACAGCTGACATTTTGACTTGTCATAGCAGGAAAAGCACAGCTGAACGAATAACATTACCAAATAGCTCAGTTCTAATTACACAGCAACACAGCGCTACATCCTGCTCTACAGTCTGTGATTTGTGTGCATGTGTTGAACTGAGCCTCAGTTCCTTTATACCACAGCCTCAGGCTACAAGAAATTGGGTTCAGATTGTAAGATTTATTTTATATATATATATATATATATATATATATATATATATATAAATCTGTTTCCAGTTGTTGTTTTTTGTGCTTGTGTGCTACTCACCTCTAGTTTCTGGGCCTTCTCCCTGCTGAGGGGTTCCAGGGGGAAGCTGAGATTGTTGGCCTCAGCCATGGAGCGCAGGTCAAAGTAATACTTGGCGTAGACGCTGGACGGCACGTTGATGTTGAACTGCAGCAGCTCCAGAAACTGACGCTCCAGCTCATTCCTTTTTTTTTTTTTAGAGAG